GGTGGCGCGTATTTAATTTTTATACTTGAGAACAGAGACCAATAGAGGGCTCGTTTGAGTGTGGCAATGAACCATGGCGTGAATAGCATGATGACATTTCTTTAATCTGTAATATCCAGCCTTAAACATGTCAGTTGCTTCTACCTGCAATGTACGACTGTCAATTACTCGCATCTGTACATTTCCTTGTTCACAAGCTTCCACTGGATTGAGTCTCCTATCTTGCAGTTATTTCGAGCAGTAAGATTTTGATGTTACCAATAAATTATACTGCACAGAAATGCGCTACTATGAAGAGTTGTGTCTTCTCTGATAAAATGCCGTGCCTAAAGTTTTGCTTCACGCCTGCTTCATGTTAGTTTTGCTTGGCCTACTCTTCAACCTGCAGGCGACATATTCCTCTGAAACGTCGGTTGACTTTTAAGGGACTACACGGCGTTATATTCGAGAAGTCAGACCTCTTCATAACCACTGTTATTAGAACCTCTAATTCTACATATTGTCACGTGATAGAGTGACTATAGACGGGGTTTGGATTGGTAATTGTATTTAATGACCAATTTTAAATGGTTCTTCCAGCCCATTCAGGGCCCAGGCCTCTTGTTCAGTTCCGTAATCATTTCTTCACAGACTGTTGGACAAATTGGGGGGGGATCAGCCCGTTGAAAGACCGCAACCTAAACACAGGACAACACAAATACAGAATAAACGCATGTAGACACCAAACATCCATGCCCTGAGTGGGATTAGAACCCATCCCAGCGTCCGAGCGAGCGACGACAGTTCTTGCACTAAACTGCGCGGCTACTGTGACCGGAATTTGACCACTTACAGAACGTACCTACAAGTAACTATAGTGCTATTGCTAATTCATATACTTTACAGTTCACTATAGCATGTAGTCATCTCAGTCTGCTGTATCTTCACCGGTTGTCGCCTGGTGACGGCTTTCAACGTCGTAGCTTCCTCAGCTTCCGTTTTCACGTCCTTACTGACCGGCGACTGTGTCACAATCCTCGGCACGGACAGCACAAAAACACCTCTCCCAACAGTTTATCTATAGCTGTGTCACGCAGCTGTCATACGGACCACACAGAGAACACTGCTTCTAAGTTGTTACGTGTTACGAATCTGTTGAGGCTATTCTCTAGCAACAGTCGTTGTCCGCAGAGCCAATTCCTAGCAACGGGTCTACATGTCACGATATTACAGGTAAGTTTTCTAATTATTTTCCGTGTATTATATCGTATTGATTTATCAATATTAGATGGTATGATTTACTACTGTAATTGAAAAAAGTCTTTCTCGTTAAAATCGTGTTTGTAACGGGATGGAACAGTGAAGAAAAACGTTAAGAAACTGCGTCAGAAATGTTTCGGTAATTATCAGGAATATGAGAGGAGCCTGCGGTTTACAATTTTTCCGGTCACGTCCTCTAATGGCTGCATGATCAACTTTTCTGTGAGAAGGCTTTCATCCGTGGTACGGTACACGTCTGTTGGTGTGACCCATTGCTTGTGGCACAACTATAACAACGCAATTCATTTTTCATCACTGTCTAAATTCCTCGTTGCTTTATAAGTGACATTACTCGACAAAATACATACTAACTTCAGCAGCTGAGCCCTTCTTGAGAAGCCTCCAATTGTACAGCAAATTAAGAACTTCCCGGCATTTTATGGAACCCGAGAATTCATTACCGTGTTCACAAGACCCCCCAATGGTCCCTATCCTGAGCCAGATCGATCCAGTCTGTACCATCCCATCTCTCTAACATTCATTTTAACATTATCCACCCACCTAAGTCTTTGTCTTCGTAGTTGTCTCTTTCCTTCTGGCTTTCTAAATGTAATGCCCATTGCCTTTAACTTAAGCCAGGCATGTCCAACTTCAAAAAGGTTGTGATCGACTTTTAGTGTCAAAACTGCCAGTGATGTACCACCCCCTCCTTCCGTCGTACCTCGCTTTAAGCAAAAATATTGGTAAAAATACACGACACATGATGTTTGTTGTAAAAGCAACATACATTGAAAATACAGACTTACCTTGTTCGTTAAGAACAGAAAAATAGGTATGACTAATACGTATTTTCCTTTCAAAATCTGAATATAATTATACGTGTTATATTACAAGTGAATTTACATGCTGTTCACGTATAATTTCCTTATTGGCCTATGAGATCGACCAAAAATCGTCCGGCAATCGACCTCTCGATCGCGATCGACGCGTTGAACCTGACTGGCTTAGGCCATTTATCCAAAGAACACGTCCAGGTCCGAGGCACTTTGTGACATTTCCTAACAAGCTCACGTTTTATGGTGAGGAGTCGTTAGCCCCACGCCCAACCACCCAGCTGGAGGACCACCCTTTGTCGGCTGTCCGCGACTGCTTATTCAATATATTCTCAGTTTCCCTCCATAACTGGAGGGCGTCTCCTCCATCCGCAACCTGAGGATGCGCCATGATGTAGTGACAAGGAACAAAATACCTAATAAACCAAAACTAAAACACACGTTAGTGAAATTTGTAAGCCCTATCGTCGTAGTGTTACATTTTATCAAATTTAGGCGCAATTTTCTAAGAAACCATAAGCCATACACATATGAAATTATGTTCAGATTTAGCTCAGAGTTGTCTGTACCAACTGACATTTCCTTAGACAGTGATTTATTTCTAAATATAATTGTTTTTCTTTACTGAAACACTCTCTCGTAAAGAGACTGTGACGGATAGTAGAATCACTGCCGGAAACCGAGATGTCACATGAGGGGCTATACGCTTGTTTTTAGGCTCACCTAGATTCTAACTCGCTAAATATTTATCGGAGCGAAAACTGTTTTAGGCAAAAGTTTAAGGCAAAAATGAGGCACACGTTTTATGTTCAGTGCACTCTTTCGTAAACGTTACGGTTTGCTAGATAATCAAGCAAAGTGACGATCTGCGCACATTTCCGAATTCTTATATTTGGCAATCAACAGCGGGCGCCAGAACACGCGCGAAGATTACCGAACTGTAATAATCATAATTATACGAAGCTAATTCTAACCTGAATTTATAGGTCTACAAGTATATAAATCGAAAATATACTAATATACTATCACCCAAATGTAGGGCCGCGCCATAGCTCAAGCGGTTAGTCGCTGGCTTCCCATCGCGGCGGCCCGGGTTCTGTCCCGGGTCTGGTCAAGTGGGATTTGTGGTGGACAAAGTGGCGCTCGGGCAGGATTGCTCCGAGTACTTCGGTTTCCCCTGCCAATCTTCATTCCACCAATTGCTCCGCAATCACCCTCACCTATCATCTAGGGCTGGTACAATAGGCCAGAAGTGGCCGCAGTACAAGGGACTTAGTCCTACCCCACTAGCAATAAAAAAAACACCCAAAATATTAATAATATCCAAAGTTCTGCTATAATNTGGCTATTCAAAGTCTCAACAATCAGACAACTCTAATGGGGGGCCTTAGCCTGTCTATAATTTTAACCACAGACATGAACTTTAGCTGAAGGAAAAATCGTACAATCCATGTCAAGTGCAAATTGTCCGAAAAATCTGTCGTATTACGTACACGAACAGAGAGACAGTAATTACTTAGCAACATATAAATTGGGCAACTAATTGCTTGATTAGGTATTTTGCTGTGCAATAACATCTCCGAATTCATTTGACGAGTTAACCAGTGTATGCAACAGAAATAACTGCACGCTTGAAGCGGAATGGACAGAGGCTACTTTACTTGTCCTGCCTAGGGAACACACAACCATATTTAGCAGTAAAAACAGGGTCTAGTAGCCTTTCAAAGCATGGTGGTAACAATATGTACCATACCTTTTAATGTTAAAAGAAACCCTGCATTTTGCCCATACAGTATATTTATTTATTCCATAAGATTTTTCTCTATAACGAGTCATGATTTCATTAAACAACGATAAACAGACAGTTCTTGTAATAGGGATGAATCTTGTCTTAAAGTGGGAATTGAAGTTTAAGTAATATTTCAACATATTTCAGAATTCAGGGGTAAATTTATGATACAGTGAATATTATACATATCATCTGCATTAACAATAAACTGAAATCACACAGAGTGTTTTCTGTGTTTCGTACGTTTCTGAAAATAAACAGCGGCTGTTTCCCTAAACAGCATTAACCGGTTGGGCTTTGTGGCGGAAAAATAATGTGTTCTCTATGAGGTACGAACTGGATCCTTATATATTATCTGTGTTCCGTATGGTTCTCACAATAAACAACGATTTTTTCCGTAAAGAGTCTTAATCAGTTGGACCTGTTAGAGGTGACAACGTGATTCCTGTGAAGTACAAACTGAATCTTTATATATTATTTGTGTTCCGTATGGTTCTCACAATAAACGACTGTTTCCATAAAGAGCAATGACCGGTTGTTCTTTGTGATGGAGATGCAATGTGAATATGGTTATTCGTGGTTTATTTTAAGGTTCTGTTAAAGTCAGAATATATAACTTCTACTAATATATTTATTGATGAATTGTGCATTTTAGAGTATCTAGAAGGAAGCCGTCGTGAACTAATCGAAGTTTTCTCCTGGAAATTTCCTGCAAGGGCTACGGAAAACAGAGAAATCTCAGTCTGGTTAGGTGGTCTCTCGGCCGAAATTCGAAACGAGCACCTCCTGAACAAAAGCCTGAAAGGTTACAACTCGGGACCTAGCGAGAAGATTACAGTCTTTTGGAGTATGACATATAGATGTTAACATTTCAGAGGTACCTAGATACCAAGTTACACGGCGTCACATCCCAGAAGATAGAAGTCTTCACAGCTACCTCTGTGGGAACCTCAAATGTGGCGAGATGCAATTCATTCTCTGTGAGGCGCGAACTGGATATTTAAATGCTGTTTAGATTCATGTGAATCTTCACAAAGTTAAGCACGAGCTGCTAGAAAATCATAGACAAGTTAAAGGGACAGAGTCACAACATTAATATAGCAAATCCTGTCGGAATGTGGAATAGTTAAAGTACTTACTACATGATTTTAATCCCAGTTTCCTTCTTCAAGACAAGAAGCCAACCTTATGAGATCGCCATGCTGTCTGTGTGCATCTGTATGTCCGTTCTTCGAGCTTTTAAACCATCTGACCACTTGCAGGCTACCACTGGCGGCCATTTCAAAATTACCTACAACGATTAATGAGAACAGGCTAGAGGTGCGAACTTCTGAGGTGGGAGCTACGTTTAATAATCTAGGTTCTTAAAATTATATATGGTAACAAACACTGGAGAAAATTACATAATGAGAGGATTCATGACATTTTTTACTACTCACCATATATTGTTTGGGTTATGAAATCATGCTGACTTTTAACAGAACCGGACATTGAAACGCGGAAAACAGGGGAACCCATGGGGAAAAAAAAACAGACTGGAAAATAACAGTGTACCACATCACACCGACTGATTCCAAACAACACAACTGCTTCATAGGAGAACTGAACAGAAATAAGAACCAAACCGTAACCAAAACAATGTCCGTAAATTGCCACGTAATATAACAACAAGATTGCAATTATAAACATTAACGTGTAACATTACACGAGACGTCTAAATACGTCTTAATAATCTCTTAACTCAGCGTCTCGGGGTATTATATAATTTAAACCTTTGTAATCTATCTTATAATATTAAACGTCTGTAATTATGATTATATTATTTATACTTTAGACTATTGCATGAAAATCTGAGAACATCAATTAACATAGATTTTTTTATTCTGGTTGAGTGTATATATAGGAGCAGTAGTGGCTATAATTTTGACAAATGCTGATAATCTGATGCATTAATAATAATTGTAATACCGTGACATATATATACATACAGAATGCAATTCAATAGTTTAAAAATAAGTTATTAGTGTCTATCTGCCTGATGATGGTTTTCACAGGCCGAAACACGTAGCAAGATAGCTTCCTGGGAAGCCCAACAGTATAACACACGCAGTCGCAGGAGCACGACACAACAAAACCACAACACACAAGATAGTGAAGGAGTGCTCCAACAAAGGAGAATGGGCGTGACTGACGTAGTGAGGGGCGACGTAGCGATGTGGTATCCTGAACAATTTTAATATTTTTAACGTTGGACAATCTATATGATAGATACATATTTTAGTTATTTTAATGTGTGAACATGGCATGCAATGAACTGGTTTGACGTGGATAAGTAAGCACCTGAAGATGGCATTATTATGCCGAAACATGTAGTGCGAGGGAGAGAAGGAGAAAAATGAGTGTATGCACTGCAAGACGGATTAAATAAATCATGGACTTAAATCAGTGCAACAGGACGCTAAAATATAACAATACTAATTGTAATTTATAAATATTTTAACCTAATAGTACAAACCGCTGTAGTTGTTGAAAACATTAAATTTTGTATCTATTGTATCATTATAACAGTGTATGCATATATTAATACTCACAAAACATATTTTAATAGTGGTGTCTAACTGTATTGATATCCTTCTGAAGATGGTCTATAGGACCGAAACATATTAAGGATAAAATATTAAAAAAGGAAAAAATTCAATAGTCACACTGTACGGAATTAATTAACCTTTTATAAGACTAATTTATAATAATTTACAAATATTTTAACAAATTCATTCAAATCTTAGTAACTGTTAACGTATATAATATTTTATTCTATGACATTGTAATAGTAGTTTCTGTATGTACTGATAATGACCTATGACACTCTAATAATAGTAGTTTCCGCGTGTATTGATAGGGTTCTTATGAAGATTGTAGCTTCGACCGAAACATGAAAAGGAAGAAAGAAAAAACACAACATTTGTCGATAACACTGGACGGTGTTAATAATCGTTCATACAAATTGATATAATTACCTTATGTAGGGAGCTTTACTGAAGGTCCTGTGTAATTGCGTTTGAATTTCGCATTGGCGTATGAATAACAGAATTATGTCAAAAATATAACCTTTTTACCCGGTCACGGTGGCCCAGCGGTCTAAGGCATGCACTGTCTTCACTCGCTCGGAAGCCGTGATCGTGGGTTCGAATCCCACCCAGAGCATGGATGTTTGTGTGTTTGTGTGTGTTTTTCTCTTGTTTGTGTACAGGTAGGGGCCTTGCGACGAGCAGATCACCCGCCCAAGGAGTCCGACTGAATACCTAAGATCTAGTAAACAGAAGTGAAACGAAGAATTTCATGGAGGTAGGTCAAGGTCCAAATTGGGGCTGTAGCGCAAAAGGAAAAAATACATTCGTAATGATGATGTAGTTCGAATCCCACCCAGGGCATGGATGTTTAGTTTGTGTGTGTGCGTTTTTCTGCGTTTGTGTACAGGTAGAGGCCTTGCGGCGAACTGATCACCCGCCCAAGGAGTCCTACCGAATGTGTAAGATCTAGAAAAACCGAAGTGAACGGAGAAGTTCATGGAGGTAGGCCTAGGCCCACTGGGGCTGTAGTGCCAAGGGAAAAAAAGTGATGACGTAAGGGTCTGCGTCGCTAATTAACAATCATGCAACCAAGTTCCCTTATAAATTCAGTATACCATTCGATAGAGACTAATTATAAGCGAGATTCTACGTGAGTAATAGGACAATATCTATAAAGATGTAGTTTAATTGGCCTTTATATCCCAACATAATAATGCATAGATTTTAACTTACACTCATTAATGTATTGCGCCTTTTGTTAGGCATATACAGAGTGATCGATTTAAAATGCACTCTGAAAAGCAATATCGTAGTGAGGTAAAAATGGAAACAGCATCTTTTTCAAGCAAGTATTGGGCACTTCAGACTTTCCCCATGACACTGGAATCAGTGTCACTCTGGTTGCTAGGCTGCCACTGTTGCCAGTTGCGCATTCATGAGCGGAAGGCAGGTTCATTCTAGAACATTACCCCTGAGAGGAAATGACAAATGAGACAGCAATACTGATGTCACCAGTTAACTTGCATACACTGTTGTAGTTCGAATTGCGTTTTAAATGTTACATCCTGTATATACACTGTAATTGGATCTTATTTGTATCAGTGTTTACTACATAATAGCGTGGAACCATATATTATCAAAATAATTAACACTCCGATACAATAAAAAGGGACAAATTCTTGCTCTGGTTAGCAACTATCAGGTTCTCAAGAGAGAGACTTTCCATGGACTCGCCCCACTTGAAACATCTTTCGAATCGAACAGTACTATTTCTTAGTTGTGACTCACTACTATAAAGTCCACCAATGTTTCGGAGGAACATACCACCTCCATCTTCAGGGTGTAAAGGTAAGCCAGTAAGAAGCGAGCAACTTCCAAATTCATTCCTTAGGGGGGCAAAGCCCCAATAATATGTAACTTTAATCAATAGGTTGTTTATTTAGCAAACAAATGTGAATGCGTGAGGTATGTGGCTCTCAGGGCGATGATCTTCTGGTATGTGACGCCGTTTAGCCTGGTCTTCTTAACTGTTCGATCATAGAACACAGGGACAGTAAGTTCATCCGAAAAGTCGGTACAATCACATTCGAAAAGACACGTCTGTTCATAGCAACATGACAATATATAATCTAACATTTTGAGGATTGTACACAAAAGGTCAATGATACTTCATGGTCACATGACAATACGTTCTCTTCCTGCGTGTTGAACATGTTCAAGGCATTAGTTGACTCTTTAAAAAGATTTTATGTCCCCGAAGGTTAATTACATGGTAGAATATAAATTAGAGAGATTATTACGTGGTTTGTGACAGTGTGGATGTTTGAATGCAAAGCAACCGACTTGGAATTTACAGTCAACAGGTTTGGAATATTTAAAAGAGTGGACAAAGTCAAGCTCATGAACATTCAATTCTTTGCTCAATAAAATTTCCCGATAGCAGAATGTTAATTTTATAAGCGCTGTAAAACTTACAATTTCCATATGTTTATAGCTTATACCTGTTTTGTGTAATTATATGCGTGGAGACTTAAACATTGGTTCTGTACGTAGCGTGTTCAGTGACTGAACTGCAGGTTTCAGTGTCCTAACTGCATGGAACAGAACTGTTCCTGAGAAGCTGATATTGTGTCAGCTGGGAAAAAATCTCTTCATATTTTAACGTAACCCGAAGTTTCATTACCGGGCACAAAATGGATATTATTCTGAGCCAGTTGAATCCATACAAAAATTGGGAAATTTGAAAGATGGGGCTATTTATTGGATCTAGGTTTAGATGAGATGATAACATTAAAAAATTCCTTCTGACGGTTTGATCCCCCGTCCAAGGAGTCCTACCGACTATCTACAGGATCAAGAAACTGAAAAAGCGGCCAAGGTCCACAAGGGATGTAGAACCATACATCCATAATAATAACAACAATAATTATAATAATAATAATAATAATAATAATAATAACAATAATAATAATATTTCGCCATCTGTGTCTAGATCTCCCAGTTGTCCTTTTTCCTTAGTATTTATAGAACAAAAGTTTTTGCGCATTTTTCTCGTTTGCAACCAAGTACCTTCAAACTGTTTCTCGAGGTTCTCGAGCTTTTCGGTAATCCAAAATTCGTAATTCTAATGAGCCCAAAACACTTTCTCGTTAAAGCTAATTACTATATGAAACCTATCACTGGCTCGAAAGTTAACGTTTCTGATCCTGGAGGTACTGGTTCGACTAATACATGGGATATCCTGATTAAGGTGCTTTTGTGCTTTCACTCAGTGACTATAAGCAAATCCATTGTCAGTGTCGTGCCTTAAATTAGGCACGCCCGCTTCCTTCCATATCCTTTCCAATTCACAGTCATAGTAAAAAGTAAAAAAGAAAAAGTAAACCACGATGTCACTACATCTCCGTGATAAAAACACTGGTCATCGAAATACAAAGCACTTAAGCGCAGAAAGCTACCGCAACCTTCCTAATCCACACCTACAATTAATTGTTTTTATTTTCGGCTCATTTGAAGGTGCTGTCACTAATTTTCCGTACGGCCTCAAAGGATTGGATGATTGATGAATGCTTAATTGAAAAGGATTTGGAAGGAAGAGGCGTTTTCATAATGGAGGAACTAACCCGACAATCACCAGAAGTGACGGGGGAGGGTGGCCGAGATTCGAAGTAAGCACCTCTTGAACACAGATGTACAGCGTTGCCGCCATGCCAACCCGCTC